TCTGCAGTGTGGAAGCACTTCGGACACGTTGGATCCGTATCTGGACATTACTCTAGATATCCACGCAGCTCACAGCGTGAAGCAGGCCTTGACACAGTTTGTGGAGCCCGAGGAACTCAGAGGGGAAAACGCCTATCACTGCGGTGTTTGTCTCCAGAAGCGGCCTGCCTCCAAGCCCTTGTCTGTACACACTTCCTCCAAGGTGCTTATCTTGCTGTTGAAACGTTTCTCGCACTTGACGGGGGAGAAGACTGCCAAGCGCGTGCAGTACTCAGAGTGGCTCGACATGCAGCCGTATATGTCTGACCAGAACAGGGGACCACTCTGGTACAGCCTCTACGCTGTGCTCGTCCATGCTGGCTCAACCTCCCGCAGTGGACATTACTTGGCTTACGTCAAAGCTGGGGATGGCCACTGGTACCAGATGAACGATGACAGAGTAACTGCCTGTGACAGATCTGCTGCCCTGTCTCAAGAGGCCTATGTCCTCTTTTACGTCCAGAGGTCTAACCTGGGAACAGACAGAAGCAGCGGGTCTGCTGCCGGGGAAGAGGAAAGTGTTGCGGCCGAGGACAAGGACTTGATTAACAAAGCGAGAGCTCTGCAGACACATTGTCACAGAGCATATGGCAAGGCAGAGGAGCAGGCCCAGGAGAGCACGTTAGAGGAGTGGAAATCCTTGCAAGAGCAAATCCAAGCAAAGAAGCCTCCGTTGAACCTCAGGAAAGTTGAAGGGAACCTTCCGGACAATGCAGTCGTCATTCACCCATCGAAACACAGAGGGGCGCTCGTGAAGACACATCCTGGACAAGACAATTTCTGTCCCAACACATCGGCCAGAAGCGTTTCACCTCTAGAGCGCACCGGCATGAACCACGCACCATGTGTTGGAGAAGGAGCCAGAGCCCCCAAGAGGAAGAACAAGAACAAGAACAAGAACAACCAACAGCACAGGAGACCTGCGCTTGTGATTTGGTGACTGCACATCCATCTCCAGCCGTGTGCCGCTGAGTGACACTCCGTGGGTGGCGGGAAATGGGTGAAAATGTCACTGAGGGCATCCTGTTTCTTGCTTCCCTTTCACCTGGAAAGAAAGACACGCAATAAAACCACATAGGCTTTGTTGTAGACCAACTTGGATTCCCTGGCAAAGTGAGTGACGTGGGGCCGGGCGCATGGACAGAGGAAGTTGTGGAAAACGCTATGTATATGGATTTCAAGGACAAGA